GGGGGGGGGGGGGGGGGGGTTGGCATGAAGAAGCCTGAAGATTTTCCCCTAATCAGGGTGCCCGATACAATTCGATTTAAGATGCCCCCCCAAAAAACCCTCTTCAACTTATTAAGGCTCCTGTATCGAGGTCTGCAACCCAACAAGGCAAGCTTGAGCTCCTTTGCAGATGCGAGAGCCCGGCTGGTTGGGAGAAGTCGAAAGCAAGGCGTCCGCCACTCTTCGAAGCAAAATGCCGCAATAGCAACCGTTGCTGGCTTTTGCGTCAATGGCAAGGGAAACATGTGTAGCAATGGGAACAAAGCCGCGACCACCGGCGACGCAAAGTAAGGGTCATACCCCCTAAACCCTAAACCCNNAGCGGATTCCAACTGCAGGATGCTCCGACAGGTGGAAAAAGGCGTTCAAAAAAAAGAAAAAACCTCGAGTTGCCGGTCTAAGCAGGTCTCGGCGCCTTGCCAGGCGTCTGGAGGAGCATGTGGATGGCTTCCTGACAGAAAGTAGAATCAGGGTTTTGGGGAGGTCTTCTGGGTTTGGGTCTCAGAACTGAGAACTGATGAAGGAGTGGCCTTAAACTGGAGAATCAGTGCTTTGAGCTTGGCCTGTTCATTTCAGTTTCCGACAGGTGGTTGCATTGGTTGCCAACTCAGCACAGCGGAATCAATCAACCACGAGATGTTTGTGACGAGCTTATTCATGTCGCATGGTCTGAGAGTTTCGAACTTTGGCATGCGCACCCGCGCTTGGGCTTACATAAGAGTCAGTGAGTCTGCAGCTCACCAGCCAGGCCTTCAGAACAGCTCATGGCTGTTTCTGAGCCACCTGGGAATCAGCATGGTGCAGTTGGACTGCACGAAAGATGCTGCAGATGTAGCAAAGCAGCTTGAGAGTGACTTGGCCTCAGGCTTCGGGTTTCCTTGAGCGGGGTGTAGCAGAGTGTAGCCACAGGGTTTGCCAAAATGGGAGTTTCCGAAAATAAGGGGTACCTTTTTTAGGGGTCCTTATAATAAGGATCCTACTATTTAGGGTACTCTTTTAGGGTCCCCTATTTTCGGAAACCCCCAGATTAGCGCATGTTTGAAACTTCCCCTCTGCAGTGGATTCTGTGCCCGTGTCAAGTAGTTGCCGGATCGGCATGCTCTCCTGGACCCTAAACCCTAAACCCTAAACCCTGAACCCTTAGCCATTTTGGCTCAAGTGCCGACCAGGTGGCTGTCCCCCTCAGTGCTGGTTGTCCCGCTGCGTTTGTTCTGAGGCCCTCCGAGTGTAGCTGCCACTGCTTGTGCTCCCGTTCGTCTTCGTGCCCCCGTGCGTCCTGGACCACATGGCTACTCCCCCCGACGATCAGGAAACCCTTGATCTGCCCCCTCTGCATGACGACGACGTGAGTCCCGTGGGAGGCGGGCGTTTGATCGGAGGGGACGAGGATGCTCAGATGCGGGAAGCTGCCCACGCGGCGCTTCTGGCGGCGACGGGGGGGGGGGGGTTGGGCGCTGGCGGGATGTTGGGGGGGGGGACGGGACTTCGGAACG